TGTCTTTTCCTCCAGTCCAGCACTGGAGGATCGGACAGGAGAGGGGGGGGGGAATCCTTGAGGGGGCCGTGAGTGACAGTCAAAGCTCTCTGCAGGGAAAAATTGAGAAGTGAGCGAGCGACGGTATGTGTTCACTCACTTCCCGATCTATTGAGCCGACCTGTGACAGTTTCAGTGTCACACATCGGCTAGAACTATGAGGCTGATTTTTCACTCGCCGCATAATTCTCCTGTTATACAAAGTGTTTTGTAGTCCAAATGCAGCTTCATATTTTTCTATCACAATTTAGTGCGCAACATATTTAGCGAGAAAAACTGTTACTGAATTCCAGATGTTAGGTTTATTCGGCTTAAACTGACACTGTACATCCAGAAACATTTGTTCCTTTTTGTTAGTGTTCTGATTCAGACTTGTAACCTCTTTCCAGATCGCCAGAAGGAACGCAGAAAGACGGCTTCTGAGGTTTGCTTCTGCTGTTCATCACCATCTGTGCGCTGTGAAGATTCAGAGATGGTTCCGGAGTCGTCTCATTCTTAAGAAAGCACAGATGCAAATTCACCATGTTATTTATATTCAGGTATGGCTGCCTTTTAGAGCGTCTATGTACATTGAAATGTCATAGCCGTATTGCCTCTCACTTTACTGGAAACAAGCGCATAGATATCACTATTTACAAGTCAAATTCAAGTCTTAGTTGTGAGAAGTGTTTAGGCAACCTCAGGTGTCAGACATGGGTCAGGTATGTTTCATGACGCAGAGTTAAACTTTCCTTTTGGCTGTAGGAGGTAGTCTTGCATTTATTAAAGCAGACCTATTGCATGAGGGACTGTAATACTACCAAAGACTAGCGCTACCACCCTCTACGTATTGCAGCTTTTTTCATTCAGATCTAGTCCCAACATTTTGGTGAATTTCAGATTGTTAACCTCACCTTATTTAGATGCTTACAAGTGATTTTCTTTTGCAGAGATGGTATCGGTCAAGATTACAGCGCAGGCAGTTTGTTTGCACACGCGAGAAGGTAATCTGTGTGCAGCGTTTGGTGCGGTCCTGGATACATCGCAGGAATAAGGCAGCTGTTACAATCCAGAGATGTGTGAGGGTTTTCCTCCAGAGCAAGCAGCAAGCAAAAATGGCCTGCGGGATTGTTAAATTCCAGGTAACCTCACTTTAATTAGAAACGCACAGCTCATCCGTGTCATGCGTCCTTGTAATCCACATTTAGTGTTCGGATAGCTCTCTTCCAGAGTGCGTATCTTAGAAACTGCAAAACCAGTACACAATGCTCTTCCATGAAGTCAATTTTATTCCACATGCATCTTTACAAAGAACTGCTGACATGTTCTGCTCAACAGAAACGCATCCGCGGTTGTTTTGTTCAGATGCATGTGGAATACAATTATTTTTGGAAGACCATGTGCCAGTTTTTCGGTTTCTAACCACACTTTTAATTACCTGCTATGTCACATCATAATAATGTCTGTTACATTTTAGGTGAGTTCATAAATCACATGCAGGATATATTTTGAATGGTTGGATGATAACCCTACAACGTAATTTTCTTTCTTTTATCATAAAATCTAAAAAAGTAATTTTTAAAAAAATGTAAAAAGGTTAGAATTATTATTTTTTGCTTCAGTTTCGACCTGACATATATTTATTTATTTATTTTTTATTTGAAAAATGTCATCTCCTACCGTTTTCCTTCTTAGGAGTGCGCTCTGAGTCTGTGCGTCGCCTTAATGAGACCTGCCGGCTGCATTAATATAAATGTTAAGACGAATGCAACTGCAGCCGGACTTCACGTCCTACATCCTGTTCTTCTTTTAATATGCAGTTTTGGATTCGGAGGCTCGTTGCCTCCAACACAGCCAATTAATTCATTTTGGCCAAAACTTTCTGCTGTACACATCTACTATATATTGTCATAAAAATGATCTTTTTCATGATTATAGAATATTAAAACTGTCCCGTTTGTGACTGTCAGTAATGGCTCTCTGAAGGGATTCCACACCCCCCCCCCCCCCCCCCCCGATCCTCCAGCGCTGACTGGAGGAACGGAGGGGTGGGTACAGCTGGCTCTGCCTCTAGATAAGCAGAGCCAGCAGCCAATCAGCCAGCTGGGTGGATCTCAACAGTATTGTCAGGATCCGTCCCGGCTGCGGTGGTCTCAGTATACCGCGAGCTGTAGCTTGCGATATACTGAGCTTTGGGTCACGGGAGGATGATAGTATATGTCCTCACGTGACCCTTGAGAGAAGTATGGGGAAAAACACTGACCCCATAGTTCTCTTTTTAAGGATCAGGTTCCACCTTTCCCTGTCAAAGTGCAATCTTAGACCTGTGGGTGCTTCTTGTTTTTAAGCATCATGCGACCTTCAGCATTGTGCAACCATTCCGGTTTGCGAAGCTACCACCTGATTTTCTGTTTTGATTTTCTATCTTTTACCAGGTGATCTTTAAGGTGCCCATACACTCTACTTTTGTCTTGCGAGGGTTGTAAAGTACTTTTAAAAAAACGTACGATCTGCCCATCTTGGACAGGCAGATCGTACTTGCGATCAGCGCAAGCCCGCCCCCCTGAGGGGCGGGCTTCCGATGACTGCAATGCTGAATGGGCAGTGTGCGCGTGCGCACACCGGCACGTTCGGCAGTTGTCTCTCGATCATGTTAAAAACCAGCCGAAAATGGTACGATTCTCGGCTGGTTTTCCAACATGCTCGAAATACAAAAGTCGTGCGACCGTACAGTAGGAATGGTCGCACGCCTTCCATACACTGCACGATTCTTGTACGATCGCGGGATTTCCCGCCATTCTCGTACGAGAATCGTGCAATGTATGGGCACCTTAAGGCCTCATCTGATGCCAGCTTCTGGAACTGTCTCCTTCAGGCGGCTCATTTAAGGTGCTGGCAGTCTGCCGGTTTCTACTGCTCTTTCTTAGGCCTGTTGCTGTTTTGCTCACCCCTCTGTTGGGCTGCTTTTAGACATCCCAGCAGTAAAAGAATTCCTGTGTTCCTGAATGGACGATAAACAAAATAGGATTTTTGTACTCTCCGTAAAATCTTTTCTTTGAGTCCTTTTGAGGGGCACAGATCCCTCCCATCTCTTCCCCCCCCCCCCCCCTGTCTTCTGCACAAC